GCAAGGGTGTGGAGAGACTGGGACCCTCCTACATTGCTGGTGGGACTGTAAAATGGTTCAAACACTCTGGAAAATGATATAGCACTTCCTCAGAAAGTTGGAAATAGAAACAACATATGACCCAGCAATTCCTCAACTTGGTATATGTCCACAAGAAATAAGAGTCAGGACACAAGTAGATATATGCACAGTGATGTTCATCACAGCATTATTCACAATAGCAAAAAGATGGAGACAGCCTAAGTGCCCATCACTGGAAAAATGGATAGACTTCAGAACATTCACATAATGGAATATGATGCAATGTTTTAGAATAATGAATCAGAGAGACACCTCATAATATATATGAACCTCCAAGACATTATACTGAGATTAGTCACAAAAGACAAATATTGTATGAGACCACTGTTGTAAAAACTCAAGACAAGGTTTTCATATTAAAAGACACATTCTTCAATGGTTGCCAGGTATAGGAGGAAAGAGAGTAATTAAGGACTAGAGGACAGACGAGGTTGGCAGAAGAATGTGAAGACACAAGAAAGTATGCAGAGTATGGAGAGGATAGAAGTAAATAGTGATATATACACAACCTTAGAACAACAGTGGTCTGTTAGAGCACACAGGCTGAGTGGGTGTGGGACGAAGAGTGGGATATAATCTCCCACAAATATATGAGAGTTTATGCCGCCACTGCCACCGCCACCACCACCACGTAATAAGCTTTTAAAAACAAACAGAATGGAAAGAGTAAAAACATCAAATAATTAGAACCTGAAGAATTTGTGATAGAGAAAGTGTAGTTAATGGGAAGGTGGAGTATTTCCTGAAGTGGAAGGGATTTACAGATGTTAAGAATACTTGGGAACCTGAAGAAAATTTAGATTGTCCAGAATTAATTGAGGCATTTTTGAGTTCTCAAAAAGCTGGTAAAGAAAAAGATGGTACAGAAAGGAAATCTTTATCTGACAGTGAATCTGATGACAACAAATCAAAGAAAAACAAAGATGCTATTGAGAAACCCAGGGGTTTTTCCAGAGGTCTTGATCCAGAGCAAATAATTGGTGCCACCAACAGCAGTGGAAAATTAGTTTCTCATGAAATGTAAAGATTCCAATGAGGCAGACATGAAATTCCCTCAAATTGTAATTGTATTTTATGAACAGAGACTAACTTGGCATTCTTGTCCAGAAGATGAAGCTCAAAAATTGCT